GCGCAGCAGGTGCAGGCAGTCGCAGAGGAGTACGGCAAGAGCTCGCGCGTCAAGACCACATGCGTGTACGGTGGGGCGCCCAAGGGTCCCCAGCTACGCGACTTGGAGAGAGGTGAGTGCCTCGCGCACGGAGATGCACAACATGCACACAGAGATGCACAACAGATACACGTACACACACGCACACCTCTTGCGTCAGCTGTTGACGGCTGCTGCTGCTGCTCTTGTCGTTAGGAGTGGAGATCTGCATCGCCACCCCGGGTCGCCTCATTGACTTCCTGGAGTCAGGCAAGACGAACCTCCGCCGCTGCACCTACCTGGTGCTGGACGAGGCGGACCGCATGCTGGACATGGGCTTCGAGCCGCAGATACGCAAGATCGTTGACCAGATCCGGGTACTTGCACGCACACACGCGTACCTACGCACACACGCGTACCTGTGGCAATACACTTGTACCTACACACACACACATGCGCGTACCTACACACACACGCGTTCCTACGCGCACGCGTACCTACACGCACACACTCGCACACACGTGTACCCACACACACACGCTCGTACCTACCTACACACACACGCTCGTACACACGCTCGTACACACGCTCGTACCTACACGCGCGTACCTACACGCGCGTACCTACACGCGCGTACCTACACGCGCGTACCTACACGCGCGTACCTACACGCGCGCGTACCTACACGCACACACGTGTACCCACACACACACGCTCGTACCTACACGCACACGCGCTCGTACCTACACGCACACGCGCGCGTACCTACACGCACACACGCTCGTACCTACGCACATACGCTCGTACCTACGCACATACGCTCGTACCTATACACACACACGCTCGTACCTATACACACACACGCTCGTACGTACACGTACACACACTCACTCGTACCTACACGTACACACGCACACGCTCGTACCTACACGTACACACACGTACCTACACGCACACACTCGTACCTACACGCACACACTCGTACCTACACGCACACTCTCGTACCTACACACACACACTCGTACCTACACGTACACACGCTCATACCTACGCGCACACACTCGTACCTACACGCACACAATCACTAACTCACACTCGCTCACTCACACAGTCACCAACTCGCACACACTCACACTCAGTCACTAACTCACACAATCACTAACAAAGGCGCACCCAGCCCCCCCTCGTGTAAGCGGCGGCGCTGCTGCTACTTTATTTCCTCGCTTTGCGTGGCTGTGTTTGTAGTTCAGCGTGGCGGTTGCGTGAGGTAGTCTACTCCAGTGCGGCAGCGAGCTCGCATGGGGTGGGGGAGCGTTGCTGCTGCAGAGTTGGGTCCCAGTGATGAGAACGTGGAATTGGGCCCCATTTTGGGGTCCCGATCACTCCGTGGGGAATCAATTCCATGCTGCCTTCCTTCTGAGGGGCCCGCTCGCTCACCCAGCCGCTCGCTCACCCAGCCACTCGCTCGCTCGCCCAGCCCCTCACTTGCTAAGCCACTCACTCGCCAAGCCACTCGCTCGCCCAGCTACTCGCTCGCTAAGCCACTAGCCCGCCCAGCCACTCACTCGCTAAGCCACTCGCTCGCCCAGCTACTCGCTCGCTCGCCCAGCCACTCGCCCGCCCAGCCACTCGCTCACCATCGTAGGCGCTAGCTCACGGCACTTGCCATGCCACCGGTGTGTTAATGCTACAACGGGGGGACCTTTGTATAACATCGCCACTCGGGGGAGACAAAGGCAGGCACGGCATTGGCCCACACCCTCTCGTGTGTGCCAGTGCCGCCAGCCTTCATCGGCGATGCTGCTCTCTAGCTAGCGGCACTTGCCATGCCACCGGTGATCCCAGCGGTGTGTTAATGCGAACAACAGGGTGGGGGTGGTGACGGTGGGTGGCTGTGGGTGGCTGTGGCTGGCGGTGGCTGGCGGTGGCTGGCGGTGGCTGGCGGTGGCTGGCGGTGGCTGGCGGTGGCTGGCGGTGGCTGGCGGTGGCTGGCGGTGGCTGGCGGTGGCTGGCGGTGGCTGACCTTTGGTGACCTCTGTGCTTGTTGCAGCCCGACCGTCAGACCCTCATGTGGAGTGCCACGTGGCCCAAGGAGGTGCGTCAGCTGGCCGAGGACTTCCTGCGCGAGTACATCCAGATCAACGTGGGCTCCATGGACCTGTCGGCCAATCACAACATCCTGCAGATCGTGGACGTGTGCAGCGACAACGAGAAGGACAACAAGTGAGTCGTGGGGGGGGTGGTGGTGGTTGGGGTGGTGGGGTGGTTGGGGTGGTTGGGGTGGTTGGGGTGGTGGGGGTGGTGGTGGGGGTGGTGCGATTTAGAGTCGCTCTGTCGCACGAGCGCATTCGCTCTCGCACACACTCGCTCATACACTTGCTCATTCACTTGCTCATTCACACACTCGCTCATTCTCACACTCGCACACACTCGCTCATTCGCACACTCGCACACACTCGCTCATTCGCACACACTTGCTCGTTCACTCGCTCATTCACACACTCGCTCATTCACACACTCGTACGCACACACACACTCGCTCATTCTCTTTTATTCTCACACTCGCACATTCTCACGCTTGCTCGCACTTTCACTCGCTCGCACACGCTCCGTCTTTCTCCACCCACGCTCACCCACGCTCACCCACTTGGCGTGTTTCTCGCCAGGCTGATGCGCCTGATGGAGGAGATCATGGCCGAGAAGGAAAACAAGACCATCATCTTTGTGGAGACGAAGAGACGCTGCGACGAGCTCACGCGTAGAATGAGGCGCGACGGGTGAGTTGCTTAGCTCCTCGACCCCTCCACCACAGAGGTCGCTAACGGGTTTTGATTCCTTACCCGTACCCGGCCGCACCAGGGTAGCAAATGGGTACCTGTACCCGGCCGGGTACGGGTAGCCGTATCCTACCCTACCCGTACCCTACCCGAAATGAGTGACAAACAGTTACTCACCAGTGACTCACGGCCTACCCGTACCCGGCCGCACCAGGGTCGCAAATGGGTACCCGTACCTGTACCCAGCCGGGTACAGGTATCCTACCCTACCCGTACCCTACCCGAAATGAGTGACAAACAGTTACTCATCAGTGACTCACGGCCTACCCGTACCCGGCCGCACCAGGGTCGCAAATGGGTACCCGTACCTGTACCCAGCCGGGTACAGGTAGCCATATTCTACCCGTACCCTACCCGAAATGAGTGACAAACGGTTACTCACCAGTGACTCACGGCCTACCCGTACCCGGCCGCACCAGGGTCGCAAACAGGTACGGGTATCGGGTAGGGTACGGGTATCCGGGTATCGATTGGGTACGGGTATCGGGTAGGGTACGGGTATCGGGTACCTGATTGCGACCTCTGGGATGAAGCCATGTTGCAGGCGCGGGTGGGTTGATTCTAGGAACTTGAATTGTGTGAAGAGACCTTATAATCTTCTTGGTTCTTTCGGTAAAGTCACTTCCCTTCTACGTGATTTTACCGAAAGAACCAAGAAGATGAATCCCTGCAGTCACGAAAGCTTTACATCGAAATTTAAGAGACAAGACGTTGGGAAATGAGTGACAAACGGTGACTCACCAGTGACTCACGGCCTACCCGTACACGTACCCGGCCGCACCAGGGTTGCAAACACGGCTACCCGTACCAGGCCGGGTACGGGTAGCCGGGTATCGGGTAGGGTACGGGTATCGGGTACCCGTTTGCGACCTCTGCTTTACCATCACCACCGCCACTCACCCCTCTGGCGGTCAGAATATAAAAGACTCGCTGAAATAAACCCAGCGGCAGCCTGATAATCGCCATTGTCGGACATTCCACCGTCACGCATTTCTCTCGCTCTGGTGAGTATGGGTGGGTGGGGGGGTGCAAAGGCCCCTTAAAAATCTGCTATATGGGGGTATTAATTCTAGATTTGAAGCTTTCGTGACTGCAAGGATTCATACTCTGAGTTCTTTCGGTAAAGTCACGTAGGTAATAAATGAAATTAATTTTAATAAAAATAAAATGCTAATAAATATAACCCGTAAAAACAAAGTTTTTTTACTCTAAATCCTTTATATGCGTGGTGGCTAGAGTCCTCTCGTCCTCTGGCTTGAGATGGCTGCCACCTATGGGTCAGATGATTGCATTGCACCATTAAGCAATTGGTAATTAAATAGAATATTTTTGTCCTAAAAAGTGTAAAGTTTTGGAAAAAAATGTTCACGAACATTAATTGTCACGCACAACGAGTCTGTGTGCAAAATGTCAGCTCGATTGGATCACGGGAAGTGGGTTAAAAAAACGACCGAAAGATTTGCACGGTCCTAAGCAAGCAAGCAAGCGAACTTAATATAAAGGATTTAAAAATCATGACGTTTCGGAAGGCAACACAAGTCTCCGTCATCTGGTGGGACCGTCACAGCCAGATTTGCTGTTTTTTTACCTACATGGCTTTACCGAAAGAACTAAGAGTGTGCTATATGGGGGATCTGTGTGTGTGTGGTGTGTGTCTTGGTAGTCTGCTAGAGCGTAGTCTGTCGGAGTCGTGGTGATTTGTACCCGACCTAGGCGCCATCCCCTAGGTCTACTCGGCCCTAAATGAGTAGCTGGGTGCTGCAGTGTGTGGTAGTTAAAACATGGCCGTTTGTAGTGCAGCGTGGCGGTTGCGTGAGGTAGTCTACTCCAGTGCGGCGGTGAGCCCACATGGGGTGGGCGGAGCGCTGCTGTTGCTGCTGCTGCTGCAGAGTTGGGTCCCAGTGATGAGAACGTGGAATTGGGCCCCATTTTGGGGTCCCGATCACTCCGTGGGGAATCCGTTCCATGCTGCCTTCCTTCTGAGGGGCCCGCTCGCTCGCTCACTCACCCAGCCACTCAGTCAATCGCTCGCTCAGCCACTCGCTCGCCCAGCCGATTGCTCGCCCAGCCGCTCGCTCGCCCAGCCACTCGCTCGCTCGCCCAAAAGCTCACCCACCCAAAAGCTCACCCAGCCAAAAACTCACCCAGAGGTTGCAAACGGGTTTTGATTTCTTACACGTACCCGGCCGCACCAGGGTCGCAAACGGGTACCCGATACCCGTACCCGATACCCGGCCGGGTACGGGTATCGGGTACCCGATTGCGACCTCTGGGATGAAGCCATGTTGCAGGCGCGGGTGGGTTGATTCTAGGAACTCGAATTGTGAGAAGAGACAAGACGTTGGGAAATGAGTGACAAACGGCGACTCACCAGTGACTCACGGCCTACCCGTACCCGGCCGCACCAGGGTCACAAACGGGTAGCCGGGTACCCGGTTGTGACCTCTGCTCCAGCCACTGAAATATCTCTCCTCTAGACGAGTGTGGGGGGCGGGGTTGGGAGTTGCCACCCAATCCACCCACCCATCTCGCTGTAACGATTGTGCGAGAGCGGTGTAAGTGTGTCTCTGTCTCTGTGTGTGGTGTACTAACCGAACGTGTTTCTTGTGTTTTGCTGCAGCTGGCCCGCCATGTGTATCCATGGAGACAAGAGCCAACCGGAGCGGGATTGGGTACTCACAGGTGAGCTCGCGCGCCCCCCCCATCGCCCCCTCGGTGTAGTCTAGTGTAGTGCGAGTCCAGTCGACCCCAGTGTAGACCAGTGCAGAGTGGGGTGAGCGACACAAGGGGAGCGCGCTGCCGAGTTGGGTCCCGGTGATGAGAACGTGGAATTTGGCTCCATTTTTGGGGTCCCGACAACAATTGTGGGGAATCCGTTCCATGCTGCCTTCCTTCTGAGGGGCCCACTCGCTCGCTCACCCAGCCACTCGCTCGCTCACCCAGCCACTCGCTCGCTCACCCAGCCACTCGCTCACCCAGCCGCTCGCTCACCCAGTCGCCCGGTCGCCCAGCCGCCCACTCACCCAGCCGCTTGCTCGCTCACCCAGCCGCTCGCTCACCCAGCCGCTCGCTCGCTCACTCACCCAGCCGCTCGCTCGCTCAGCCACTCGCTCGCCCAGCCAGCCGCTCGCTCGCTCACCCAGCCGCTCGCTCACCCAGCCGCCCGCTCACCCAGCCGCTCGCTCACCCGGCCACTCGCTCGCTCGCCCAGCCGCTCGCTCGCTCACCCACTCATCCTCCCTCCTCTCCGAGGGACTTGGTCGGTCGGAATCCTCTACCCCCCCCTCTCTCTCGCTCCCCCCCCCCCCCCCTCTCTCTCCATCTTCGCGTTGTGACTGTGATAACCAACTGAGCTCTCTTCTCTCCCCCCCCCCCCGCCACCGCTCCCCGTGCAGAGTTCCGATCAGGGAAGTCTCCGATTCTCATCGCCACGGACGTCGCTTCCCGCGGCCTGGGTACGTTGTGTGTGCGTGCGCGCGCGCGTTGTGCGCGCGTGTTGCCCTTGCGTCGTTGCTGGGGGGGTTAGGGTTGTGAGTAACGGTTAAGGTGGCGAGTTGGTGGGTTTGGGTGGGTGTGGTGTAGCAGATTGTGTGAGGTAGGCATAGGTGGGTTTATGAGGGGGGTAAAATAAAGATGCATTATTATGAGTTGGCATGTGGGTCGTGTGTGAGTCGGGGGATGAATGAACGTGGGGGTTGAGGGTGAGCGTGGAGTGGTGAGGAGGGGTGAGGGTAGGTGAGGTGTCGTGGTTCTGTCTGGGTGAGCGACTTGGCTTGGTGAGCGACTTGGCTTGGTGAGCGACTTTGCGGTGTGAGCGAGTGCTCTTTGAGGGTGAGTGGGTGAGACGCCATCTCCTCTCTTCCGTCTTGATCTCGTCGTCATCGCGAGGTAGAGACACCAACGACGCTCACCAATTGTGAACATTCTGACGACAACGCTCACAACTACTCACAACAACGACAACAACGCTCACAACTACACACACACCAGCCACGCTCACCAATTGTGAACATTCTGACGACAACGCTCACCAACTACACACACACCAGCCACGCTCACCAATTGTGAACATTCTGATGACAACGCTCACCAACTACACACACACCAGCCACGCTCACCAATTGTGAACATTCTGACGACGACACTCACCAACTACACACACACCAGCCACGCTCACCAACTACTCACAACGACGACACCAACGCTCACAACTACACACACACCAGCCACGCTCACCAACTACTCGCAACGACCACAACAACGCTCACAACTACACACACCAGCCACGCTCACCAACTACTCGCAACGACCACAACAACGCTCACAACTACACACACCAGCCACGCTCACCAACTACTCACAACAACGACACCAACGCTCACAACTACACACACACCAGCCACGCTCACCAACTACTCACAACAACGACAACAACGCTCACAACTACACACACACCAGCCACGCTCACCAACTACTCACAACGACCACAACAACGCTCACAACTACACACACCAGCCACGCTCACCAACTACTCACAACGACCACAACAACGCTCACAACTACACACACACACCAGCCACGCTCACCAACTACTCACAACGACCACAACAACGCTCACAACTACACACACACATCAGCCACGCTCACCAACTACTCACAACGACAACAACGCTCACAACTACACACACACCAGCCACGCTCACCAACTACTCACAACGACGACAACAACGCTCACAACTACACACACCAGCCACGCTCACCAACTACTCGCAACGACCACAACAACGCTCACAACTACACACACACCAGCCACGCTCACCAACTACTCGCAACGACGACAACAACGCTCACAACTACACACACACCAGCCACGCTCACCAACTACTCGCAACGACGACAACAACGCTCACAACTACACACACACCAGCCACGCTCACCAACTACTCACAACGGCGACACCAACGCTCACAACTACACACACACCAGCCACGCTCACCAACTACTCACAACGACGACACCAACGCTCACAAATACACACACCAGCCACGCTCACCAACTACTCACAACGGCGACACCAACGCTCACAACTACACACACACCAGCCACGCTCGCCAACTACTCACAACGGCGACAACAACGCTCACAACTACACACACACCAGCCACGCTCACCAACTACTCACAACGACGACACCAACGCTCACAAATACACACACCAGCCACGCTCACCAACTACTCACAACGGCGACACCAACGCTCACAACTACACACACCAGCCACGCTCACCAACTACTCACAACGACGACACCAACGCTCACAACTACACACACACCAGCCACGCTCACCAACTACTCACAACGACGACACCAACGCTCACAACTACACACACCAGCCACGCTCACCAACTACTCGCAACGACGACAACAACGCTCACAACTACACACACCAGCCACGCTCACCAACTACTCACAACGACGACGACGACAACGCTCACAACTACACACACACCAGCCACGCTCACCAACTACTCACAACGACGACAACAACGCTCACAACTACACACACACCAGCCACGCTCGCCAACTACTCACAAAGACAACAACGCTCACCAACTACTCACAACGACGACACCAACGCTCACAACTACACACACACCAGCCACGCTCGCCAACTACTCACAAAGACAACAACGCTCACCAACTACTCACAACGACGACACCAACGCTCACAACTACACACACACCAGCCACGCTCACCAACTACTCGCAACGACGACAACAACGCTCACAACTACACACACCAGCCACGCTCACCAACTACTCACAACGCCCACAACAACGCTCACAACTACACACACACCAGCCACGCTCACCAACTACTCGCAACGACGACAACAACGCTCACAACTACACACACACCAGCCACGCTCACCAACTACTCACAACGACAACAACGCTCACAACTACACACACACCAGCCACGCTCACCAACTACTCACAACGACAACAACGCTCACAACTACACACACACCAGCCACGCTCACCAACTACTCACAACGACGACACCAACGCTCACAACTACACACACACCAGCCACGCTCACCAACTACTCGCAACGACGACAACAACGCTCACAACTACACACACACCAGCCACGCTCACCAACTACTCACAACGACGACACCAACGCTCACAACTACACACACACCAGCCACGCTCACCAACTACTCACAACGACAACAACGCTCACAACTACACACACACCAGCCACGCTCGCCAACTACTCACAACGACGACAACAACGCTCACAAATACACACACCAGCCACGCTCACCAACTACTCACAACGGCGACACCAACGCTCACAACTACACACACACCAGCCACGCTCACCAACTACTCACAACGACGACAACAACGCTCACAAATACACACACCAGCCACGCTCACCAACTACTCACAACGACGACAACAACGCTCACAAATACACACACCAGCCACGCTCACCAACTACTCACAACGGCGACACCAACGCTCACAACTACACACACACCAGCCACGCTCACCAACTACTCGCAACGACGACAACAACGCTCACAACTACACACACACCAGCCACGCTCACCAACTACTCGCAACGACGACAACAACGCTTTGGCTGTGTGGAACGTTGACCTCTGCTGCAAAACGTCGTCATTTGCCGCCCGCGTTAAGTTAACGGTGGCTCTCCGCGTGTCTGCGCGCGTGTGTGCGTGCGCGCGCGTGTGTGCGTGTGTGTGGTACGAACACGCACACACACGCCTCACACTCTCTCTCCCCCCCCCCACCCAGAAGCCCCTCGTTTTGCGAGGGAGCCGCGGGGGCGTCGCCCAAATAATATTTTTGACGGGAGACGGGGAGTGTGTGTGTGCGCGTGCGTCCGTGCGTGCGTGTGCGAGCGTGCGAGCGAGTGAGCGTGCGAGCGAGTTTGAGCGCTAAATTTCTTGAAAAAGACCTCTCGAAACGAGGCCTTATCCGTCACCGAGGCCTAAAAAAACAAAATGGCCGTGCGGAGGAGCGGCCATCTTGGATTGCTGCCCAGACGGGCGGCCATCTTGGATTTGCGCTGTCAGGAGGAGGGAGTTGTGGGAAGGGATGGGGGGGGAGGGGGAATTTGGGGGAGGGTGGTGGTGGTGGCGGCCATCGTGGAGCATCGCTCCCCACCCTGCCGAGGGAGGGCGGCCATTTTGGAATCGCTGGCTGCCGGCGGCCATCTTGGATCCACCGCCCTTTCCCTCCTCGCCCCCCCCCCCCCGCCCGCGGAGAGGGAGGGACGGCCGGGCGGCCATCTTGGATCGCCGTTGTCACGGCAACGGGAGAGCGCGGAAGTGGTGGGGGGGGGCGGCTCCCCCTCCTCCTCCTCCCTGGTTGGCTGGCTGGCTCGCCGGTGTTAGGGTAGCGAGGTAGCAGAGATGGGCCTGTGGGGTGGGACTCGGGTTTGTTGACTAGCGGTGGGTGGGTGGTGAGCGTTTAAATAAACCTGAGGCAGGAGGGAGGGAAGAGTAGGCAGAAGCGGGGGGGGAGGGGGTCTACTGCTGTATGTGTAGCGTGCGTGGGTGGGTGCTCGGTTAGGGGGTCTAAATCTTGTTGTGGGGGGGCGGGGCGAGGGTTGCTATATATACCACCTCAAGCCAAGCTAGTAGTGGGGGGCTGTTTTAAACCTCGAGTTGCTCTAGTGGGGGGGTGCTGCTACATGCCGCCTCAAGCTAAGGGCCGCTCGTAGTGAAGGGCGGGGTGGGCAGCAGCAGGAGGAGGTGGTGGTGGTGGTGGTGCTAGCGGCCACAGCACTGCAGTGCCCGCCCCCCCCCCCTCTTCGCCTGCCATGGGGCCGCCCTCCCTCCCTCCCCGCCCCCCCCAACTGCGGGGGTCTACGGGGGAGGAGGAGGAGGTGGTGAGGGAGGAGGAGGAGGAGGAGGAGGGGACCCCCTCTCCCGCCTGTCCCTCTCGGGGCCTCTCTCTCGCCGCTTCTGTGACGGCAGCAGCCCCGTAAGTAACAAAATCAAAACGGCCTTGTTGGGTGGTGGTGGTGGTGGTTGGGTTGGGGTGCAACTGGGGTTTGGTTGATGGTGGTGAGGGTGGGATGGTGGTTATGAAGAGGGCGAAAGTCATGCGTGGTAGGGGTGGTGGGTGGTGGGGGTTTGGTTTGGGGTTTAAGAGGGGGTGGGAGTTTTGGCGGTGGTGGTGATGATGGTCTTGGTGGGTTTCCTCATCAAGTCCTGTCGTAGATCAACAGAGAGACCAAGATCCTCCGCCCGTTATAGCCTCGACAGACTGAAACCTTTTACACCATTGGAACGTCATTTGGCAGTAAAAAAAATATGATAATTGTTTTTTTTTACCCTTCTATCTGGCAAACAAAACTGACACCTTTTTTGTTGCCATTAAGGGTAAAAAAAAAACCAATAATCAGACTTAAACCTTCTGTTGGGAAACATAAGCGCTCGGTCTTGACCTTTCTGGCAATACAAACGGGTGTGTTAATAAGGTGTTGTTGGTGTTTGGAGCGAGCGTGCTTGTTATTTCCAGGTAAAGGTTAAAAAAAAAACTTATTTTCGTGACGCTGACGCACAACGGATCAAACAAATGTACCCTGTGGCGAAACTGCCACCACCACCGCCGCCATAAACCCATCACACCTCCTCGCGCGCAATCCGCCCGCTGGACCCAGTAGTTTTCGATGCAGAGGAAATGGTTAGTGGGGAAATACGCAGCGGCGGTGGCAGCATGAGCAGTAGCATTGAGCTCTGGGCAGCTGCAGTAGTAATGCATCGGGGGGGGGGGGGGGGGGGTAAAGACAGCTGGTGTAGTTACGATTGGCTTGTGGCGAGTGTTAGGGCGGCTAGATTTATGAATGTGTTGTAAACCTCCTCCACCACCCGACACGGCCAATCGATAAAAAAGTGTCGCTGCTTTAGCCCACCGGTGTGTTGAAGCGTGAAACCACAACATTTTAAAAATATTTTTGTTGTAAATGTTGTGGTGTCACGCTTCAACAAACCGGTAGGCTTAAAGCGGTTAACTATTTGTCTTTTGTCAATGTGACACCCTTTCAACTGGTACAAAAACTGACAGCTTTATGCAAGGCATCATGTTTGCAATAACCACAACACAAGCAGTCAATGCAAACAAAAAGAAACAACTCTGATGATGATGATGATGATATCCACTGTCCTTGAAGTTGATTGGTCCACACCCGAGACAGCTTTCCTTAGAGCCCAGTCTTTTGGCGCCTTTTGGCGTCATCTGGTCCAACACCATGTGAGACTGGGCTCTAAGAAAAGCTGTCTCGGGTGTGGACCAATCAATTTCAAGGACAGTGCATATATTATCAGAGTTGTGTGTTTTGTTTGCATTATGACTGCTTGTGGTTATTGCAAACATGATGCCTTGTATAAAGGTGTCAGTTTTTGTACCAGTTGAAAGGATAAAAACCTACTACTATATTTTTGCCACTGCTCAAGGAGGTGTCTCATAGTGTCAACGTGACACTTTTTTGCCGACTGCCCGTGTCGGATGGTGGAGGGTTACGACACATTTCTAAATAACGCGATCTAACCCAATAACGTTGCTTATGAATAATATTGTTTGCGAAAGCCTGCTACGTGTTACACTGTTAGCGCTACAGTCTGCGGCCACTTATCATTGGCTAGTGGTGGGGGGGGGCGGGGGCAAGGGCTGCATGGTCACGTGTGTGTTGTGAATTGGGGGGGGGGGGGGGTGGGCCGGGTCTCTGTGTGTGGACTGTGTGGTGGGGGGTGGGGCGGGGAGAAGTGCATGGGGATGAGATGGGGGGTGTGGGTTGGTTGAGTGTGAGGGATATTCAGATTTGGGGTGGTGGGGAGGGTTGAGATTGGTGGGGGGGGGGGGTGAGATTGGGGGGGGTGTTGGGTGAGGTTGTGTTGGGGGGGGGGGGTCGTGTGGGGTGAGTGTGGGCGAGTCTGTGAGGATGATTTTTGGTGGTGGTTTGAGGAGGAAAACCATCCTCCAATTGCGTTCTTTCTAATCTTGGTTGTTTTTTCCCTTCCTCCCTCCCCCCATCCTCCCCCGGCTGCTGAATTTCTTCAATCGCTCATCCCTCCATTCACCCTCCCACCCAATCCCCCGTTCACTTGTCCACCCTCTAACCTCCAACGCTCGCTCGCCCTCCCACCAACCCAATCCCCCGTTCACTTCTCCACCCTCTCACCTCCAACGCTCTCCCGCTCGCCACCTCTCCCACGACTCCTCCGCTCGCCCTCCCACCAAACCAATCCCGCGTTCACTTCTCCACCCTCTCACCTCCAACGCTCTCCCGCTCGCCACCTCTCCCACGACTCCTCCGCTCGCCCTCCCACCAACCCAATCCCGCGTTCACTTCTCCACCCTCTCACCTCCAACGCTCTCCCGCTCGCCACCTCTCCCACGACTCCTCCGCTCGCCCTCCCACCAACCCAATCCCTCGCTCACTTGTCCACCCTCTCACCTCCAACGCTCGCTCGCCCTCCCACCAACCCAATCCCGC